CCTATCTCAAGCTCGATGCGTCTGTCAAGCACCAAAAGACGTTAATCCTGGACCTTGACGAGACGTTAATTCACAGCATGTCCAAGGGAGGCAGAAGCAGTGGCCACATGGTAGAAGTTCGACTCAATACCGCATCATTAGGCATGGGTACTGCGCCAGGCGGTGCGGCTCAACACCCTATCCTGTATTGGGTCAACAAGCGACCGTATTGCGACGAGTTTTTGCGGCGCATTTGCAAGTGGTTCAATCTGGTCATTTTTACGGCCTCGGTGCAAGAGTACGCTGATCCGGTCATTGACTGGCTGGAGGCGGAGCGAAAGTTCTTCTCTGCTAGATATTATCGCCAACACTGCACGTACCGTCAAGGCGCTTACATAAAAGACCTTAGCTCAGTGGAACCAGATTTGAGTAAAGTCATGATTCTGGACAACAGTCCGCTGAGCTATTTGTTTCATGAAGGTTGGTTTATTGGCTCACAAAGCTGCCCTCTGCTCCTCCCAAGACGCTGGACACTGACTGACCTCGGCCAGACAATGCCATCCCGATCCAGGGCTGGATCAACGACCCCACAGACAACGACCTAATGCACCTGATTCCAATGCTAGAAGGTTTACAATACGTCCACGATGTTAGAGCATTCTTGGCATTGCGAGGCGGTGAAGATGGGCAGCATATGGCGTAAATGAAGGTAAATTTGGGAAAGTAAAAAAAACTCATCTGGCGTTTATTTATGGAATGGAGCTGCTGCGAATTTGATTTTTTTCCTCCTTTTTTGGCCACTGACGGGCTCAACCACGTCGGTACAGGGGAGAGACTTTGTTACAAAGTATTGTTTTGTTTCGCGTTGACCAAGACAAACCTCTGTCACCACATTGTACAGATAGACTGGAGGGAGGAGCGGTGTTTAAATGAAGGGTTTTGAGGGGGCAATTTGAGCAGATATTGATGGGGGAGGCGGCTACAGGTAGTAGCCGGACGGTAATTTGAGCATTTTCAGCGCCTACTTCCGTGTCATATGGTGCCAGGCCTTTGCTAGTGCGTGTTGGTGGCCTTGCATTGGGGTTCTGCTAGTCATCGCCCATCCCTGTTCTTGAAGAAGTTTAATTCTGTCTCCTCAGTCCCCGGACCTTGGACAGGAACATTGAATGTCTGACACGCAATGGGAGACGAGTGGAAGTGGAAATGGTTCCTGGAGGCGCTGTGGATCGAAGAATCCGCAGGCACTGCGCCGCCGCCGGTGGGCCTTGGGCATAAACATCGAATGGTGTCATCGGCACATGGCGCGATCAATTGACGGGCTGCCGGCGACTTTCTGGGCCTCCGCAACCGTGATTTCGCGGGTTCCATGTTGCCCAAGCTGTGGTGGTGGCGGCGATTCCAGCCGTTGCCGAGGTGAACGGCGGCTGCGCGGCTGCAGCTTACATATTGACTCGCATCTTTGCAGTTTACGTTTACAACGAATTTCGCGGCAACGTTGGGCATGGGCCGCGGTTTCACCTAGACAAAGGGAGCTCGATCATTGGACGCGTTACTGAGCCAGTTGCCGACGCTTCGATGGCAACCAAATGGCAAGCCGCCTAGTCGCTGACGGATAGTCGCAAGGGGCGGGTCTCGAATTCCAAACGGCACTGCGCAGACTCGTCTGCCCTTCGTCGTCACTGGTCCTTCCTTCCAAAGCCGGCGTGCGTTCTGTAGAGCTTGCCGGAAACCAGTCTCCACAAAGTGGTGACATCATCGCCCGCAACAAACCCCCCCCTTCTCACAGAGCATCACGCATCAAGCCACAAGGTGCATGCGCCTTTGCCCAATCGAGATTTGCGACAAACCTATTTGCCAGCATTTGCTGAAGCAACCAAGGGAGGGCCTGCCCGGGGCTGTCTAAGGTTTAAAAGGAGGGGGAAGGACTTCAACGGGTCGGTGTGTTTGAACTTGGACCTTTCATTATCGTCAACCTTGTCGAAAACAAAAGACATCAAAGACTTGCTGAAACTCACCATGTCTCTGCACTGTAAGTTGTGCCGTCGCGACACGCGCTGCTTCTCCCCTCTCACCCTTTGATCCCCCCCTTCCCTCCGGCTGCCATCGTGAGTGGTGTCTCCGAGCTGGGCGAGCACATGAGAGAATGCGACCCCCGCGATCTGTGTCGCCTCCCATCCACACCTCCCGCTTCGCCAGAGATTGCGGATGCTGATGTGCGCAGACCTGCCCCCCGTGAAGCCCTCTGCCATTGCGCTGGGCACCTTCTTCAACCACGGCATCGAGCTGGCCGTGCTGGGCCCCGTCTTCGGCCAGACCTACCAGCGCGCCAAGCAGGCCAACACCAAGGAGGAGTTCATCAAGTCCAAGGAAGCCAGCGGCGCTGCCATTGCCTGGGGCACCTCGTTTGTCGGCTCGGCCCTCCAGAGCTATGGTGTCGCCGCGTTGATCAATGCCACGGGGACCCTGAGCTATAAGGGCGCCGCGTACCTGGGCGGCTTGATCTTTGCCGCGACGGCGGCCCCTGGAGTAAGTTTGGTTTCTTTTGTCCTCCAATGATGCTGATTTTCCCCCTTTGACTCTTGAGTCTTGCATATGCCATTCCTCGTCGCCCACGCACTGTACGGAGAATGGTGTAGATGGACGGTGCTGGCGATGAGATTGTCGTGACGAGTTGCTGACCTGGCCTAGTTCCTTACGCAAATCTTCTCGGAGAAGCGCCCCATCGATACCGTCGGTGTCAGCATCGCCGCCAAGCTTGTGGAAACTATTGGATTGTCATTGTTCCTGACTTGGTGGGGTACTCGTACTAACCCTTTTGACTAAAGGGCTATATTGCTTGGGCGAGTATCGTGTGCGGACGGTTCTTGTTGTTCGCTGGTACAGAAGGAAGTGTTCGGGGGCAGATGTTCATGTTCCTTGTTGGACCTAGTTTTTTCAATTGATCATGTATTACACTTTGGCGTGTCGGGCTCTACGTGGCCGCAACGAAGCTCCTTGATCGGTGACTGCTCGATGTCTGCTGGTGTTGATGTTGATGACGTTGCAAATCCGCTCAACGGGGCAATTGGATGCGTCGGGTCGTATGAGCTTCTGAGAGGTGATGCTCTTGGGGATCCAGGCCCGAGCATTCGTAGTTGCAACGCCTCTACTACGAGGTGCTCATTGACAAAAGGGAAGGGCAAACGTAACCATCACGCCACAAGTTTCTGCGATCTAGCTATCAATTATCACAATACCATGTTGAGAAATGCTTTAATTGATGATGCCATGTACCTGAACGCCGCCGTAACCCAATTCGGCCCTGCTAGTCAATCCCTCTGGTATTTATACACCCAGATCAAACCGAAGCTTCAAACAAGCCCACCCCATTGGCAAACCAGCGACTCGCCCTCCGTCTCTCCACTTTGCAACAAATATGCAGACGTCAGCTTTTCAACTGCCATACCTCTTCCCACCATGGCAATGTTCTTCTCCTTGTTCTTCCCCTAGCACCTCCCTATGCCTTTGACTCCCCCTTTGTCCAGAACGACTGCTTGGAAAACTCCTTCTGCACCAGCTTCACCAACGAAGCATACGTCTCGCCAAACGACTCGTCGTCTTCCTCCTTCTCCTCCTTGACCCCGGCCTTCTTCTTGCCGTCGGGCTTCTCCATGATCATGACCACGCTGGTAGGCCGCTTGGTCTTGGCGGCGGCGCCCAGCTCGGCCCGCGACGTGACAAAGATGAAGGGCACGTTGTGGTCCTCGCACAGCACCGGAATGTGCGAGATGACGTCCTGGGGAGAAATGTCGCCGGCAATGACGACGACGCCGGGGAAGGACGTGTTTCCCGGCCCGCCGGCAGGCGACTTGCGGAGCGTCTTGACGACCTCCTTGACGCCGCGCTTGAGGGTGCCGTTTTTGGCGGCTGGCAAAATCGTTAGCTGACTTCCCACACTCGACTCCGCTCTTTGCTCCTCCGGGGCAAAACGAGGCTCTCTATTACGCACCCTTCTTGATGGCCTTGTACACCTTCTTCATGCCCTTATCGTCGGCTAGCGGCACGGCGAAGGGCACGACGGTCCTCGCCAGCGGCGGCAGCTCGGAGGGGCTCTGGTCCTCCATCTCGGAATCCTCCTCCTCCTTTACGGGCTTGCTCTGGGCGGCGGCATCCTGCTGCAGCTTCTCGTCGAGGGCGGCCGCGAGCCTCTCCTTCTTGTCCTTCTTTTCCTTCTTCTCCTTCTTGGGCTTGGCTACGCCAGACTCTTCGCTGCGCTTCTTGTCCTTCTTCTCCTTCTTGTCGGGTCTTTCGGCGGCCATGGCTGCTTCAGGGCTCGGCTGTCGGCTGGGATGAAAAAAAAACCCTGGGTGCTGGTGTGAAATTTTGCAAATATGGAAATACCAAAAATTTGGCTATACTCAAAGAATGCTGCTTATGAAATGTATATTTCAAAAACGAGCATAACAAAAAACAATCAACAAAAATACCAATTGGGCCAAGACTTGGTCGACAAGGTGGGCGGAATTGGTTTTCGCACCTCTTTCCACGGGCTGGAGACCTCGAAATTTTTCCTGCCAGTCGAAACTTTTACTGGCAATTGAGCGAGCTGGGTCCGAGTTTTCGGTATTTCGTGGCGCCGGTTCCGATGCAGAGTCACGTGAGTGTATGTAGCTTGTGAGGGTCGCACGATTGAGAAAGAATAAGCGATGCGTGATTGGCACGACAAATTATTTGAGTGTGAGCTCTTGTAAAGCCAATTAATGAAAAGGGCATCTTGACAGTATTTATTGCCGCGGTAGAGGCCTGGATGAAGCTTCATGAGGGTCACTTACTACTTGTCGCTCGAACCTAGCTAGATACCTCGTGGTGGGAATTCAATGTAGCGCATCACATGGCATACCAAGGTAAGATGAGTAGTAACAAATGGAATGGATTTAAACATGCGCTCGCCGCACATTTGTGTTGGTTACATATCTTCTGCCCCCCCTGTCTAGACTATGATATACAAATGCTTTTTATCGATTGTCCCTGCTCAACCCTTCTTACTCGGCCTCGTCACCAAACTCGGCACGGCCGGCCTTGGACTGGAGGTAGTGGTTTCTGCTACTATGTTAGAATACCGTGCTGAATTCCTCATATATTTTTTTCGGTTACGAACCGCTCAGTAGCCCACTGCATCAAGTAGTATCCAGCAACCAGAGGAGGGAGCCAGTAGAAGATCTGGCCCTTGGTACGACGGAACGTGTTGAAGAAAGCGTCGTGGACCATGCCAGCAGTGGGGTTCTGTCTGTTGGCAGAAAGGCCGTAGTGGATGATGCCCTTTTGCTTGGAGCCACCTATATCGAGTTAGTAACCTCGGTTCGTGATGCTTCGTGTTCCCCTTTCGCTCCGTTGTTGTGAAGTAGTTCAAATGTCCAATTGCCACAGTCCTGAGCGATCAATCTCCTAGAAATATATTACTCCAGAAGGCTATGCCCTCGATTGATTCCAGCCATCCCACGTTTGGCTATCGGCAACACTCTCCAAGCACAAGCCGGTGATTCCATCGTTCCTCGTACACTGCGCAATTGTCCGTCGAAAGAAAGGCATCGTACTCACCAAAAGAACCCCAATCACCCAGCCAGCTAAATAAAGAGAGAGAGAAAAAAGTTAGCAAACAGAGTCGACGAATCGAGGCGTGCAGAATGGCGCAGCCGACGACAGTCTTGCCGTCGCGGAAAAGCCGCAGGCGCACACCGCACCAATAGCACAACCGAGAGCAGGACAAAAAACATACTGGCCAACCTTCCAATTGGGGGCACCGCCGCCGTTCAGAGCTTGCGTCGGTCTCATTGTGGCTGATGTCGAGGAATTGCGTGACGTTGATTCCTGATAGTCGGACGTTCGTGAGGCAGGGAAAGGCGAAAGTCGGGTTACGGGTGAAAGAGTTGCAAGCAAGTCTTGAAAGGCGCTCCCCCGTCGTCCCGAGCTTACCCGAACAGGGTTAGCGCCACAACCACCTCCCGAAAATCAGCCTGCTGGGGAGGAGCAAGCTGGGGGATGGAAACGACGAAGCTCGGTGCTGCCTCTTTTCTGCCAGTCCGTCGCATCCGCCCATCGCCAAGCGAAAAAAAGAGACCAATAACACCACCACAGTTTGAGGGTTGTGCACAATGGCGGCCGCAGCAAGAGCTCTCAATCTCATGTACCGCCTGGCTGTGCCAGCCACGGCGGGCGCATTCCTCGTCAGCCAGTCCATCTTCGACGTCAAGGGCGGAACAAGAGCCGTCATCTTCGACAGGCTATCCGGAGTGAAGGAGGATGTCATCAACGAGGGGACGCACTTTTTGGTGCCATGGCTGCAGCGGAGCGTCATCTTTGATGTGCGTACGAAGCCGAGAAATATCGCCACGACTACAGGAAGCAAGGATTTGCAGATGGTCAGCTTGACGCTCCGCGTGCTGCACCGGCCGAATGTCAAGGCCCTGCCCAAGATTTACCAGGTACAATCACCCACCCACGGTCAGCCGGACTTCAATCCATAATGTACTAACCGTTTTGTAGAACCTCGGCGTCGATTACGATGAGCGAGTTCTGCCCTCCATCGGAAACGAGGTTCTGAAAGCCATCGTCGCCCAGTTCGACGCCGCCGAACTCATCACCCAGCGAGAAGCCGTGTCACAAAAGATTCGCACAGAACTCACGCGCCGCGCCGCCGAGTTCAATATTGCCCTCGAGGACGTGTCCATCACCCACATGACGTTTGGCCGGGAATTCACAAAGGCCGTTGAGCAGAAGCAGATTGCGCAGCAGGATGCCGAGCGAGCTCGCTTCATTGTCGAAAAGGCCGAGCAGGAGAGGCAGGCCAACGTCATCCGGGCCGAGGGCGAAGCCGAGTCTGCGGAGACGATTAGCAAGGCCATTGCCAAGAATGGCGACGGGCTGGTGCAGATTCGAAAGATTGAAGCGAGCAGGGAGATTGCGCAGCAACTGTCGTCGAACCCCAACGTGGCGTATTTGCCCACGGGGAAGTCGGGTAATGGAGGGCAGTATCTGCTGTCTGTTGGACGGGCTTAAAAACGTGTAAGGAGACTGGAACAGGAGGGCAACTTCTCCGCTTTATCGCTAACGGAAGCGACCATGTAATTCTATATCTCGGAAATACCAATGATGATATATTTCCACCCCCATGCTTGCTTTCACCTCTACTACCTTGTGCATTGGACTTACTGCTATGCAAATGAATCGACAGCTCGCTTTATATGAAAACCACCGTTCTTCCCTCCTCCCTTATTTCTCAATAAATGCCTCTGTCAACCCGCCCGGTTTCCCAGGCGGCCAGAAATGTCCACCCACCAATGTCCATCCCGCCCTCTGCATATCCTTCCATTCATTCATGACCTTCAGCCGCACCAGCTCCCCCGCCGCCCTGGCGTCCTCTGCAGAATCGTGACCCAAAACTTTTGGCCCCGTATCCTGCTGAATCTTCTTGTTCAAGTGCACATCCATGAGCATCTTCAAGCCATGGCGGTATGGTAAGCCGAGTTTGTGGGGGTACAACAGCACCGTGTCTATGAGAGTAGGGTGAACGATTCGCACGGCGTTCAGGTCGTTTTCCAAGCCGTGGCCGATCAGGGGCGTCGACGGGGATATCAGCGAGAATAAGAGATCGCGAGCAACTTCCGGGGAGGAGACTATCTTGAGATCCTTGGAGTTTGACTCGTTCGCCGTACCAGTTTGAGGTCCCGACTTTGGCGGCGCCGCGTCGTCTGGCACCCAGGGTTTGGCGTTTGCCAAGTCGTCTGGCCAGACACCAGAGTAGCGAGAGTTGAGATCCAGTATTTCACCAATCGGCTGGACCAACACGTCGAGGAGCTCCTCGCCCAGAGGCCACGACGTTGCGGTGAGGCGGATGAGCTCCATCCCGTGGACGGTGTAGCCCATCTCGCAGTCGAAGCAGACAGCCCTGTCCTCGGGGATGCCGGGGTTCTCTGGTGTAGATGCGTAGTTGAGCACCGCCGCCAGCCGCTTGGGGTCGCCTGCTTTGAAGACGTGCTTGTCGTGGGTGGCACAGCCTGCCGAATCGCCCACCTCCTGTCCACAGCAGCGATATCGTTTCGGGACCCTGGCCGTATCGCCTGGAGCCTTTTCGGGGACGTACGTCTTGCCCCAGTGGAAGTTGCATGCGCCCCCGGACACAAGCGCCCCGTCTTCCGCCCTTCTCCCCGGGAAGACCTGGAAGCGTTGCTGGCACCGGTCGCACTTCTCCCATCCCTTGCCGGCCTCCTGTCCCGCCCGGGCTGATTCTACCACGTCCTCGGCCGGGACGGAAGACACGTAGCCGTGCTTGGAGAGATCATCCACTCTTGTGACGATCCTCTTCAACAGTTCCACCTCCTGCGCGGCCGTGAGACCGGTATTAATCTCTTTTGGTATATTCCCTCCATGCTGCTCCTTGGGTCGAGGCGCCTCTTTGACGCGTAGCTCCTTCCATTGAGCCACATTCATCTTCTTGTGCTGCATAATCTTGTTCTTCATAACGTTCGTATAGACGGCTGGCTTCTCCAACGCCGTTGCCTCCTCCTCGTCCAACGCTCTGAAAATCAGACCCTGCGGGGACAGGACAAGCGAGGGTTCACCTGCTTTCATGGAGGCCATTTCCAGTGCCCGATTGAGCCGGGCATATTCGTGGTGTAACATTTTGAGAAGTTTCAGTCGGGTTTCATGACTTGCTGGCGAGCTCTTGAGAAGCCGTGGATTGAGAGATTCTGGCTTTCTCCTTTTGGTCGATTCACAATCCGCCTTTGTCACGGGTTTGCCGCTGGGCACAGGCGACTTTGAATCCTTGGTGGCAGCTGTCTTTTGCGGTGTTGAAGAAGACGACCTCGCCTTTGTGTCGGCTGTTCTTGTGTTCCGCTGAAGAGGTGGTGGTGAAACGGACCGAGTGGCACTGCGAGGCTTGGTGCTGAGGGTGTGATGTTTGCTGGCGTTGTCGTGTAAAGAGCTTGCTTTGGAGGGTGGTTGAGATGGGGCAGAGTCATTCTTTTGTTCTACTTTGATGCGTTTACGGGGTGCTTCTTGGTAAGGAGGGGAGCGGTCACGAGAGATGGATGATGAGGCGTCTCGAGACGAGCTTGGCGGTGTTGGCTCGACTTTGGCCTCGGTAGCGTCTTCTTCGCCGTGGCCGAAGATGCACTGGAAGGCGGTGCAGTTCTTGCCGGCAGGGCATGGTATGTGTCTGAGGGAGAAGCTCATGGTGTTGGTTGCAAGGAGCAGCTCGCAGTGACACTAGGCCATGAGAGTTGGCGCGAGGCGCACTCGAGTATGCTATTAAGGTTGAGAGGCTGGGGACGATCATGGATGGAACACGTGCGGCGCGGACGATGTTAGGCGCGTAAGTATGTATATTGGGTTGAGTTGGCGATGCTTGCACTGGAGATGACGGGCATCGTCAAAGCACGTCGACGTCAATCGGTCCAATGCTTGGCGGTTTGTGCCGCCCGGCGCACAGACCAGCGGAGCGCAGTTCAGTGGTGGACTAATTAGGTTCCAGGACTGGAGGCTGTAACAAAGACATGCTGTCTGGTGACATGATTTTTCCCGACTTTTGTTGAACAGGGCCCGCTCTCTAGTGCCGCCTGGTCAACACGTTGAACCCTTGGCTCCCGATGCCAGATGTCCGGTCCGCCAGGCCCCGTCGATTCAGGACTGGAGCCTGCACTGTTGGGCCTCGGCGACCTGTCCATTCAATGTTGACCACATGCGGCCAGTCTGCGCCACCAATTCCTCTGCGTCATCCTCCGCCTCCAAAGGTGTTATCAACGCGCGACATCCCCGACCCTTCAGATGTTGTCCTTACGCAAGACTGCCTTGTATGGTGCTCTGGTCGTCGCTTTGGGCTTCTTTTAGACCAGCCCTCAGAGTCTGGTCGTCGCCCCAAGCTCAAGCTGCCTCTGCCTACGTCCGACATCGCATCGCGAGCCCGTCCCTCAAAGTCCTTCAGGGGCTGCCACCTATCGCCATGCCGCCTCCGACCTATCCCAAGTACGAGGGCGGCACTCCCTCTGCCGACCACCTGTGTGTGCTTGTTCACGGGGTAAGGTCCCTATGTCCCTCGACGCCTTCGATATTTCCTTGACCGAACGCTTACGCGCTCCGTTTTAGTTGTGGGGAAACCCCGATCATATGAGAAACGTCGCCAAGAGCCTGCGCAGCCTGTATTCCTCGAGCGAGCTGCGTCTGTTGTTTGCAAAGCGCAATATTGGAAGCTTTACCTATGATGGCATTGAGCGTGGTGGTGAGCGTATCTGTTCCGAGATCGAGGAGGAATTGCGCGCCGTGGAGGACAGCGGCGGCAAGATCACCAAGATCAGCATCGTTGGATATTCTCTCGGAGGGCTGGTCTGCCGCTATGCCATCGGCTTGTTGTATGCCAAGGGCGTCCTGGACCAGCTTGAATGCATGGTAATTATGCTACCTCGTCCCCGTCCCTCTGGTCCCCCTTCAACAACTCATCTGACGCTTCTACACAGAACTTCACCACGTTCGCCTCACCCCATCTCGGGGTTCGCACACCCCTCAAGGGCTGGCACAACCACATCTGGAACGTCATGGGAGCCCGCACTCTATCCATGTCCGGAAGACAGTTATTCACCATTGACAACTTTCGCGACACTGGCCGGCCGCTGCTCTCCGTCCTCGCAGAACCAACCTCCATCTTCATGCTGGGCCTGCGCAAGTTCAGACGCCACACCCTGTACACCAACATCATCAACGACCGGAGTGCCGTCTACTACACCACCGGCATCACAAAGACCGACCCGTACCGCAAGCTGGACACGGTCAAGGTCAACTACCTCAAGGGCTACAACGGTGTCCTCCTCGATCCTGGCAACCCGGTCCAACCGTCGCCCAAACTCCGCGGCCCAGCCACCATCTCCTCCGTGACGGGCTCCATCGTCGACTGGATCAAGCGCATCCCGTTCATGATCACCGTCGCCGTCTTCGTCCCCATCGGCGTCCTCGCCTACCTCTGCAACTCCGTCATCCAAAACATCCGCAGCTCAAAGCGGATCCGGCTCTACGAGCAGGGCCACGCAGGCGTCAGCATAGACGGGTACCGCGTGCCCGTCTTCATCAAGGAGCTTCGCGAGGAAGTCGAAAACACGTACGAGGCACTCAACAGCTCCCAGAACCAAGAGTACCTGGCCACCGAGGACGAGGACGACGTCGACGCCATGAGCGCAGAAGACAGAAGGCTGATACAGCGCGAGAGAAGGCTGTCCACGCCGACGCAGCCGACGCTTGCGCTGACGGCGCACCAGTTTGAAATGATTCGGTCGCTGGACACGCTCAAGTGGAGGAAGTACCCCGTCTGGATTCACAACCATAGACACAGCCACGCGGCCATCATTGTGCGCATGGAAAAGAAGTCGTTTGATGAAGGGTGGATCGTGCTGAAGCACTTTGCCGAGGAGGAGTTTTTGGCCTAGATTAATAGACTGCACGTCGGCTTGGGCTAATAGAGCGGAGGCGGGAAAGATGGAGTTTGTTTACTGCGGGAACAAGAAGAGAAAGAAGGAAAGGCAAGCGTGTACGCTACGATGGGGACATGATACTTGGAACTTTTCCTTGCCGTTGGGATTGATAGATGGTAGAGCCGGGGACTGCCCGTACGATCACTTTGGCTGCGGCTAGAATTACCTTTGTACATCGGCTATTGCTCATACGCCTGCTAGCCACGTGGTTGTGTCTCTCTTCTTCTGACGTGCAGCCTGAAGCACGAGTTTCCCATGGATATTGCTTCTTCGCCTCGGGGGGCAGTCGGTGGTGGCTTGTCACAAGTAACACTGGCGTTTCTTCCACTATGTTTACTATGCTGAACCCGACATCTCGAAGCGAGATGGTGTACAACTAGCGCCGAGCATGAGAACGGCGCAATATGGGATCGGCGTGCTCGTCTCTGGGGGATGACTTTGTCGAGGGGGCCATTTGGCGGTGCTTGCTCCGCGACAGGCATGTGTGTTAGATGGCTACACCGGACATTTATAGGAAGAACGCTGGGCCCGCTCAAAATGAATGCCGGTTCGTATATTATAGATAACCACCTATTGGGCACAATTTCTTTGACCATGTCTGCAGCTTTCACGTGCATCGTTCAATACCGCTAGGGCGTGCCCCAAGATTTAATGCATGACGCCAGCTCGTCTTGGTCCGGTGGCTGAAGAGCGATTCAACGGCGTTGACACAAGCGCAGGGGTTTCACCACGTGGGTTGAGTCCATCATGTCTCGGGTGAGCCCGTTGTATCATTTCTTGACGTAAAGTAGCGGCGAGATGCAGATGATACAGGTGCATGTGGGTGAGTGGCCTATTGAAAGCGTAGCGTGCCGCCGTCAACAAGCAACGTATTCTGCTTCTTTATTCTGAGCAGGCAATGCACCAACGCGGGTCGACAGGCCCTTTGACATGGGCCTAGTGATGTTGGAATAAATATGTACTATTTTAGCTTCTATATGTATGGAATGAAACACGTAGGCGCTTACACTTTTGCCCTGTGGCACAGTTGGTAAAAAAATCCAACTAGCGTAAGTGCTATCAATTTGCGGATCCTGGAATATTGACACAACGACCTCGTGCGGTAGGCCTGGGGAGCCTGAGCATCTCACATGACGCACTGTCCGATGACTAGGAAATGTCACTTCATGGCCCATCTATTTACTTCCCTGGACGCGATATTTGTCACACGCTCGGCCCATCAAAGGGGGCAACGGTTACGCAACAACAAAGGAAACATGACGAGGCCCAAAGTCGACCCTAAGCGAGGGCTGCCTCATGCACTAGCCCTCACCGACTTCTTGTATTCATAGGCTTGAGTCCCTCAACTCGTGAGGAAACCAAGGGCCTTGGATATCCTCAAGTCGATTATTGTAGATTGAATCGAGTACCCCGTTCCAAGCCCGGTCACACGGCCCTTGTCACAATAAGTATCAAATCTTGGAGGGCAAACAGCCTCCCTGATAAAGAAGATGAACGATATAAATCCCTGTGGCTAGCGTATGACGGACCATGAATGCATCAACTGAAACTCTTTATATCAATACAGTAAGGGCAGGCTGATGGGCTTGTATAGGCTGTCAGAAATGAATACTGTACCAGTTGAGCGTTTTACGGCAAGTTGTGCCCGCTGTCCTTGATCATTCGAGAGAAGAGGAGCCGAAGCAAGCTTTCGTCCAGGGAGCGGTGGAATGAAGAGTCAACGCTGGACTTTTGGTCGTCAAGAGAGGGATTGGGGCGAGAAGAGCCATGTCTTCTCCAAGAACAGCCTCGCCAGTCGTGAGAGTTTAGTATGAGATGCGAGAGATCCTCGTTCCTGCGTCTAGTTTCATCAGATGGTGGGACTAACGGCACGTCGGAGAATTCGATCGGAAGCATGGACCGCATCGCGTAGGAGGCTCCGACAAGGCGTTGTATACCACGTAGTACGATTTAGCCTTGCTGGAAAAGATCGGCACTCGCATCCACCGGGGCGTCATCTACGACGGCAGTTCCCTGTTCACCCGTGCCTCATTTGTTTCAGAATGGATACATACTGCGACCTACAGTACATTCTGTCCAACCCGAGCGGCACGTATCACGGCGTCGTTGCCGATACCGCGCATGATACGGAGTACTTGGCTCAGGAACTCTCCAGTGATTTGCTGCCGATCAGCATGTAATCTCATGCGCTGACGACGCACGGGGCAGGACTCATGGTGCTGCCTGCAAATCGACGAGCTCTGCGTTGCGCAATGGTCATCGAGCGACTACTTCGCACTCGGATGATTTGCTAGGCTGGACTACTAAAGGCGACGACAGCTCGTCGACAACTAAAGAGTCAGTCAGTCTCATGAAGAAAAAGCATTGACGGTTACAACTGCATGCCTCGGCCTTGCAAATTACCGCCGCCGCCTCCCCTAGGTAGCGCCCGATCATCGTGGCCCCTTTGACGCTGGCGAACAGCCTTGATACGAGATATCTTGGCGTACGGCGAGTGTTGTTGTAGGAGTCCCGGGCAACTTGAGACGGCCAGGTGATCGCGGGGCACCTTTAATCTGCGGGTTCCCAGGAACAAGGTCCGGGGAACAGGCTCTGCAAAGCAGCCAGCCAATTGACAGCGTTTGGGTTGTGGACTGCCTCTGGATGTGCAATTGCGTTTCCCGAAAGGCTAAAATAAAAGAAATCGCCGAGTTTCAGGTGCTTGCACATACAAAGCTCTTGGCAACTCGGTCAGTGCCCTCAGGTGCCGTTTGTTGGGGGCTCGAGCCCGGCTGTCAAGTTCGGACGATTTGGAACACGCTTGGCGACTGGCGGCAAAATAGGCAAAAAGAGCTCAGAAAACCTCGAGTGCCGGTACTTGCTGTTCCGGCTCAAGAGATTTTTCCTTTCTTTTTCCTTGAGCGGGTGTTGGGCGCGGTAGTAGTACTCCGTATGCTCGTTCAATTGATGGAGAGGAATCAAGACTTGGGCATGGCCCCGGTAATCGGAACGGCCAGGGCTGCAGGTCTCCAATCAAACCACGGAATCATGGAGGAGCCTTGGCCATGAAAGGCAGGCGATAAAAATCACTGATTTTCATGCTGCCAAAAGTGCTGCCAAAGGTCAATTAATCCGGTGGGTTAGTGGGTTGTAAGCACCTTTGGCTGCACCAATTGACTTTTGGCAGCCATAATTCACCACAATACGGAGTAAAGAGTAAAAATATGTTAAGGATGCAGTTATTTACTGTCTTCTAGTGCCTTTTCGCGAAAAACGTCGATCAAATCGGCAAATTTAATTTGGCAGAGGTCTGCGGAGCTCAGCTACTGTGCGACCGTAACCGGACCTTAGCTTACTTACCCCAATATCTGCATCATGGAACGTCAGATCGATTGCTTGCCTCGTTTGGGCCAACGCGTGCTGCCGTTTTTGTTGCCAGTGAGTGGCCTATGCGCGGATCCTTGCTACTGGCATTGGTTCAATGTTGGCCTGGGTACGTACTCCGTACTGATCACATCATAGATAGCGCATCATGTGCACACGAGGGCCGGGGGGACGATGAATTCAATCAACATGACAGCCAAGCCCTTTCTTGCGCCCTCCCCCTCATTCGGTGCGTCCTCCGTTTCTGGGCCAGTATGAGTCTGGTAGTATGCGAAGTCGGTGTCCTGCCACGGCAAGTGAGCCATGCCAGCTGGAGATGCGCTAAATCAGACGCAAGGTGCCGCCCGGGGAGATGCAACATAGGCTATATTATCCGTTCTAGATTCTTTTCCATGCCGTAGCCCTCCAGGCTCCCGGTTGAGCAGCCCCGGCCTGTCTCGCCTCCCATGGCTGGAGCTGGGACCGGCGGGACTTGGGACTTTTGTTGATTGACATATATGGCCTTTGTTCAATCTCCAGCTGGCTATTGCAGAAAGACTCCATCCGGGCAACGCATGCTCATTATAAGTTGAGGCCTTGTCCCTTTGACCTTCCTGTGTCGGCAATTGGTGCATCTATTATGCCAAGGCAATCATGTCCCCGGAATCCGCTCGATCCACTACCGAGACTTGGCGCGAACGCGGGCATCTTGCGGCCGATACGAATCGATTGTCATGACACATGGGCCGAGTTCGTTTGACCGAGTTGCTGGACCCAGTTCACGCCAATCCTACCCCGATAGTTCGAGCGCTATGCCTCGGCTATTATAATAATGATGATGACGATGATGATGATGCATGGTAATAAATGGCATTTGAAAAAGCAAAAAGAAATTCGGGCCAACCGATCGGTAGTACTCCGTAGGTAGACCAGCATGTCTGCTTTTTTCCAGCCCACCGCTCCGGGCTGAGAGCCACATGCAACAACACTCAACATGCAGAGCTTCAAGGCCGGGATCCTACTCACCTTCCATAGAGAGCACTGAGAGCAGACCAAAGAACCATTGACGCGAACCCATTTTGGGGGGTGCCCCTGTCGCTCTTTGATGTTGTGCTCGGGCCAGCTCCAACTTCTCCCCACACCAATCATGTTTTCCGGACCGGCCATCTTTAGCTCCGTGCCTGGGGCGCCTTAGCCGCCATCAAGATTGAGCCAATTCACTTCATGCGTTTGCCAGACGCAACGTGCCAGTATGTACTTCCTTTTTTTATGGCGTCGACTTGTTATCTCCTTGGTACCCGCCACAGCCCGTCCCCCTCCACCATGGCCTGGCGTTGACAAGACCAGGTGCAAAAAGGACCTGCTCTTCTGAGCATGGAAACAAAGCAACGGGCCTTTGGCGTGACACAGACTTTGTCCATGTCTTCCTAAGGTACATGCTGCCCAAGGTCCTCGTGCAGGTTCTGTGCGGAGATCCCTCACAAAACTGTCCATGCGGTCCTTGCGAATGGATATCCCCAATAGGTAGGAGAGGAGGAGACGAGGCCGTTGTTCGGGGCCGGGGGATAGATAAATATTGGCGTTGCTCCCATCTTCGTCGTCGATCTAGATAGTCAACCCGTCTACTACCTGATTCTTCCTTGGCTTCTTCGATCTGCTTGGCCCCTAGAGACGAGACATCGCGCTCTCCAAGGCTCGGCTAGTGAGATCATCCAAGACAATCCCTTGCCCACAATGCGCGGCAACACCATTGTTGCTGCGGCTCTTCTTGCCGGCGCGGCCGAGTTGGCGGCTGCTGATGGCTGCAATGCCGACAATTGTCTGCGTGCCCTGAGGGCGACGCATATCCCCGGACGTCTCGAGAGCGCAAAGGCATTCTGTGCCACATACACCAAGGCGACTGGTACTGTCGCCCCGACGGCAGTTCCATCGTATGCCGCGGATGGCTGCAAGGACAACCTCAATGGCCCCATGGCCCTGAGAATCTCCAGCGCCTGCTCTTGCATCGCACCCGGGCCCTCGACCACAGCAACTCCCACGGCTCCCACTTCAGCGGCTCCCACGACGGCGCCAACTTCAACGGCCACCGGACATCCCTGTGCCAAGGTTAGCGCGTCATGGGCTGAGCAGAGGAAGACGGCGACAGGTACGTTTGAATACGGTGCGCTTGGTGACGGGCTCGCAAATTGCGGCGCACAGACGATGGGATGGACTAAACATGGTCAAAGTTTCAACTTGAGACTAGGCACGGAAGCTTACTAACAGACTTTCCCGTTGTTTAGCTATCCCCACTGTGGCCGCCTCATTGGCCCACGAGTGCCTCAAAACCGTTCCCCTGGGCAAGGAAGAGGCCATCAAGCTGATCGACGCCATCGAGCCCTACCTCGAGTGGCAGAGTGACGCGGGTTACAAGAAGGACCCTCCCGAGTCCTACTTCTATCCTGGGTTTGACATCTTTGGCAACCTAGCCAGCGTCCGGTCCAATGTCGAGGCCGGCAAATACGCAGGCGAGTTCGATTTCCAGACCGACCTCTACAAGCAGGTCTGGGCCCCAGGCCAGGACGGCCACTATGTGTTCTACCCCGACCTGTTGGCGAAAGCCTTCAGATGGAGGCGTGCTGTTCCTCCCATTGTTTCTATTAGCGAGGACGGCGAGTCGTTGCCTGTCATCAAGCTTCAGAGTGAGTCGTGGGCATCCCCAACTGCCTCTCAGTTGCCTGTGTAAATAAAGGGGCTAACAAACAAACCCTCTAGCCGACGTGATTGCCAACCCCAAAACGGCGCAGGCCATCACCAAAATCAACGGTATTGATGCCGCCAAATACGTCGAGGATACTGTCAATGCTGCCAGTTTCCTTCAGGATGTCGACTCATCCTACAACACCATGTTCTGGTCCAAGTCCACCGCCGCCAACGGTGGAGTCGGCAACTTCGTTTCCGGTGGTCGCAGCGCCCTGTTTTACCACGGTGATACCACCAAGCTTACCTACGCCAATGGCACAACCGTCGAGATTGAGAACAAGGCCTCCATTGTTGGTGACATGAATGCCGTTGTTGACGGCCCTTCCATGTACAACAAGTTCTGTACGCCTGTTCCCCTCCGGTCCGATTCAGCTTCTTCCGCTGCGCTCCCCAGCGCGGCTATCCCTGGCTATCCCAAGCCCGTCATCGCCTCCTCCGACGGTGTTGTCTCTGGCTACTACCTCAACGGGCCTGGTCTTGACGACGTTGCCGTGATATATCTGATGTCGTTCGAGCCCAGGGTCCCTGCCGAGTTTCAGGCTGTTGTCAGCGACTTTCTGCGCGAGGCCAAGGCTGCTGGCAAGACCAAGCTCGTTGTCGATTTCCAGAACAATGGCGGCGGCTACATTCTTCTCGGCTATGATTTCTTCCGCCAGCTGTTCCCCTCTGTCGTGCAGGACGGCAACTCTCGCTGGAAGGAGAGCAAGAGCTTCGCCGCCATGGCTCGTCTCGTCTCCGACGCGGTCAAGAATGTGAACCCTGCCACTGAAACTGATGAGAATCTCGTCAGCTTGTCTCAGACGTGGTGGAACTACCGCTATGACATGAACATCACCAACGAGAACTTTGCCACCTATGAGGACAAATTCCACCCTCATGTCTACAAGGACACCGACTACACCAACCTGATGCGATGGAACCTTAGCGACCCCCTGACCACTACCAACACGACATATGGCATCGGCGTCGAAATCTCGGGCTATGGCACACGCGCCAACCTCTCTCAGCCATTCAAGGCCGAAGACATCATCCTTCTTTATGATGGCGCCTGCTCCTCCACGTGCACTCTGGCATCCGAAATGCTTCGCCTCCAGGGCGGCGTCAAGTCAGTCGCCATGGGTGGCCGCCCCAAGAAGGGTCCCATCCAGGGTGTCGGCGGCATCAAGGGATCGCAGGTCCTCCAATTCCTCAACATTTTCAGCTTCGCCAACTTCCTTTCTCAGCAAACCAATGACACCGACACCAAGGCCGAACTAGGGCGCTTCACGACCCTGCCGATGCAGCGATCTGCTGGCTCTGCCGTCAATGTGCGAGACCAGATCCTCCGCGACAACGTCAACGACGGCGTCCCCGCGCAGTACATTGCCGAAGAGGCGGACTGCCGCCTGTACTGGACGGCGCCCATGATTTCCGACGTGACCGAGGTGTGGAAGTCTGCTGCCAACGCCGCCTTCAACGGCGCCAAGTGTGCCCACGGCGGTATTGCCGGATCCAAGCCGAATCGCAGAAGCCGCGTTGCTCCTGTCCTGAGCGCTCGTCGTTCCGCCAGGCTGTCCGATGCCGTGGACAAGACTCCCATTGCGCACAGCCTGAACTGGGAGGCCCAGCATCTGCAGATGGCCATCAATTGAGGGAAGCAGGAATGTATTTTGACATTATGAGCACATAGCATGAATATAGTATTTGATTTGAGCAGCCAACCAAAGTGTGGCTTTGTTGAACCATTGTAGAATTGTACACAAAAGGCGCTTCGTACCAAGGGCAGTCGAGGTGAAACTGTCTGGTTGAACTAGACGCCAAATGCCAACTGGCTACAAGCCTCGTTGACAGGCGAGTTGGTGCCACGTACCCAATGCCAGGTCAACATTGGACTTGCATGGAGTGCTAGCGGTAGGCGTGTATCAGAAAATTGGACCTTGCATCCCTTTGAATGTGCGCAGGTCCAACTAATGTACTGGACCTACTCTTTTTATAATACTTAGAGGTACTTTTTAACTCTGGTAAATAGCTAATATATTCTTATATTTATATATATCTTAAAATATTAGGTATTTATCTTATTATATAATTTTATAATAAGTCTATATATTTTTATTAGTATTTATTATTAGCTATGATCCTGGTCTACTACACCAATTAGACCTGCGCACATTCAAAGGGATAGGACAGACAGTATTATATGCATGTATGTATGTATGTATGTACTCGGCAGACAAGAACCAGATCGACATTGAACAATCAACCACACATGATGCATTAAGTGTTCTTCATGGTGGCTCGCATCGCCCCGCTTGGCTGATAGTCGATCCCATGCACATGCAGCTTGTGCTAGGGACAATGTCGCGACGACTTGTTTGTTCCCTTGCTCCTCGTGTGCCGGGCTTCTTTCTGTCTTGCAGAAGGACCCCATCCGCCAACTCCGCATCTCAGCAAGAGGGCCGCTTCTGCAGAGCTCCCGTGTCTGCCAGAGCTCGCCACAAGAAAGCATTGATTCCATGTCAATTGATTGAGTCAACTGGTCGATCGGGCAGGGGTCTGGTCAAGTGCGCCGGGGGATGCGCCACCCGCCAATTTGAAGTCGCGGTCGGCCAAGTCGTATATATCAATGGCACCGGTTTGCTGTTCGCCACGAAGCCCTTCTTGCCCAAGTATACTACGCTCATGACGCGCAATCAGGCGATAGGTCCGGCGGCAAGTCTAGTTCTTATTGAATAAAGGCAAACACGCGGCGGCGGCGCAATGAACCCGCCTCTCCTCCCCCTCGGGCTCGTGTGGCTCCTGGCGGCGCGGACGGCGGCGCTGGACCCGGCCTCGCTGCGGGAGCGGCTGCCCAGGTGCTCGCTGCTGTGTCTGGCGGACGGGGTGACGAGGCACAACTGCTCGCTGGCCGACGTCGAGTGCCAGTGCGACAAGATCGAGCCTATTATCAGGACGGTGGCGCCGTGCCTGGTCCAGGCTGGGTGCGACTTGCAGAACATTACGGGTGGGTTTTTCATCTTTAGAGCCGGCTCTCCCTCTTGGGGTTGCTGCTTCTGTTGAGAAAGACTAAAGGTTGTCTGGATATTGTGCTGACCGAGGCTGTTACTTATAGCTACCGGCCGGGTTGTGCTGGACGTGTGCAAGACGCTGCCGGGGGGGAATGAGACCAAGCCAGGCGGCGAGGGCGAGGTGACGACCGGCACGGGGTCAGCGGCAAAGAGGGAAGGGGTTGTCTGGGTCTTGGTAGCAATTTCTGCGGCCGCGAGCGTGCTGTTATGAGAACGGGTTCCGTGTCGGAGTGGGCGTTGTTTTACAAAGGGGCGGGTTGTGTTTGCCGGTGCCGGAGAGGCGCTTTTTGGGAAACGGCTGTCGCATTAGTCTAGTCTATGTATATATCGAGTCTGGCCGGCTGTCTATTCTATAAAGATGAACAAGAAGATGACATGTGCAACAAAACAACTCGGCTGGCTTCCCGCGGCCCTCACGCCGCACCCCCCCTAGCACGGCCCGACCTTGGCCAGGGCGCCGTGCGTGCCGCCGTCAAACAAGCCGTGGCACTCGTCCAGCTTGGCCAGGTGGGCGGCCAGCTCGATGCCGCGGCGCCTCTGGGCCTCGACGCGCGCCCAATCCCACTCCCCGTCGACGGCGAGGTCGACGTGGCCCAGGTCGGCGGCCTCGTCGCCG